GCTACAACCTTGACAACATGGTGCTCAGTGAAAGCAGTCACAAAAGGCCACACAGTGTATGATTCCATTTATATGAAATGTCCAGAATAGGTAAATCCACAGAGAAATAAAGCAGACTGGTGGTTGACTGTGGGCTGAAGAGGGGTAGGGAACTGGGGAGTGATGGTTAGTAAGTTGGGGTTTCTTTTGAAGTGATGAAAACGTTCTAAAATTGTGATGATGCTTGCACAACACTGAATATACTAAAAACGTCGACGTGTACATTGAATCGTATACTTTAAATGGGTGAGTTGTAATGGTATGTGCATTTTATCTCAATTAAATGGCTATAAAAGTGTTTCCCAAAGCCCTAGGAAGTTATAATAGTTAAAATTCAATGATAACTCAAGCATCTGTAACAGAGATTAGCACTGGCTATTTCAGAATCACTTTGCAATTGTGCCTCTTCTGTCCAGCCCCCATGGTTACCACTGTATTAGCTACTCCTTCCCTCTCATTGGGATCATAACTGGTGTCCCCAACTTCAGCTTCTCTGCCACTTGGCTCTGATTAGTTTATCCCCTTTCCTCAAAAAGCTTTTCATGGCTTTTAACTGCACAGCAATTAAATTTCACACAATTGAGCCTGACAATAGAGTCTATTCAAAATCTGACCTCTGGTTCAAGCGCGGTCTCATAACACCAAGGTTGCCAGTTCGATTCCCACATGGGCTGGGCCAGTGAGCTACACCCTCCACAACTAGATTGAAAAACAATGACTTGACTTGGAGCTGATGGGTCCTAGAAAAACACACTGTTCCCCAATAAAATTAAAAAAAACAAAACATTTTGACCTCAATCTACCTGTCTGTCTTTCAATCCCATCATACCCCATTAGCCTCACTGGATCTCCCACACATGTCCCACGTGCCATGTTCTCGGTGCCATGTCACTCTTCCTTTAGCTTCACCATTAAATGCCATGCCCCTTTTGAAGCCTTATNACACTGTTCCCTAATAAAATTTCTTTAAAAAAAATTAAAAATAAAAATAAAATAAATAAAATGAAATAATTCTTTTCTTACCAATATGGTTCTGTTCCTGAAAACCAAATTGCTGTATATAGAAGTGTATTTTAAATATCCCCGGGGATTTCATTATTTAAAGAAATTGTGTTGCGAACATTTTTGAAAATAATACACTGCCCTTATTATAAAATTGGACTTGCAATAAATTGGGTTTGCTTAAGGTGAGAGGGAATTCTGATGGCAAATCCGTGAAGGGAACGATTTGTTTATGTTGAGGTGAATCAGCAACAAGTAGGATTTTGACAAAAAGGAAAAAGGAAATAAAAATCTCCCAAGTGAAGTCAAGTATGGACAAAGATTTGGCGGGTCCAGGGCGGGTTAAGGGGCCTGGTGAGTGGCGAGGAGTG